AACATAAACTATAAATCATTATTATAGTATATAAGTTATGTGATATATCCAATAATTCACATTGAAGGGTTATCGACTGTTAGTACCCATAGAAGTGCACGTCACTAATTAATTCCCTTTGTGAAATTGCGCGGTTAATTATTGATATAATCGAACTTCATTATAAAAGCTGTGATTTCACAATAGCCGACGGCTCTCAACTTAATTGTTGCTAATAATACAAAACTGGTCCTTTTGTATGATTATTTAGTTTGTCAATTCATTGTACCTACTTTACTATCAAATTGGAATTTCAATTAGTCTCTCTTTCAAAAACTATAACTTTCGTCTTACTTGCGTTCATTTTCATTCCATTTTCTTTTAATGTCCTGTTCATTAATGTAACCATTATTTGCAATTAGGCCGCCGACGACGCAAGAATGACTTGATCAAATTCACTCTCATCATTTTTTCCAAACGCCCCAAAGGAGTATAACTTCAAAAATATAAAGTATCACAACAAATAAAATTAAATTTAAATTAGCGTCAGTATTAACGTTTTTAATAACTACTAAATATCTTAAGTATACGTGTTAATAATAAGCCATGCTTGAATTTTCACTATTACATTCAATTTGTTCACTTTCATGAAATATAATTCCATTTCAACAGGTATTGGTAACTGTATACCAGCATTGAATAAGTTATTTTTATGCGGACTCCAACCACGGGGTGCGGTCCCGCTGCGGGGAGACGGCCGACGAATAATTCTAGCAATGTGGTTTATGTGTCTAATTACATATTTGATATCAGAAGTGGACTCATGCCATTCGCGGTTAGCAATCCGAGAACAGAGAATGCTTAAATAACTAATTATATTTGGAATGAGGCAGGCAACGTTAAATAGAATTTCAATTTAGTTGCTGTCATAACAAACTTTTGCGTCGCTTAGTGGCGTTTCATTTCGAATATTTAGTGTGGACAGAGCAATCGTGAGGTTATTTAGAAAGACTGTACATGAAACTAATTTAAATTAAAAATAGAAAACCGAGAAGCACAAACGCAAGGCAAAAGCCTTGATGGTCATTAGTTAATTAGTTTAATGAAGGGATAAAACATTTTTTTTAAAAACCTTTGGTTACTAAAATGATCAATCATCATCATCATTATCATTACAGCCCTTCACAAGTCCACTGCTGAGCATAGGCCTCCCCCAAGGAATGCCACAAAGCACGGTCCCGAGCCACCTGCATCCTTCGACTTCCTGCATATCTTACCAGGTCGTCACTCCATCTAGTGGGGGGACGCCCAACACTTCGCCTGCCGGTACGAGGCTGCCACTCGAGAACCTTTTTTCCCCATCGGTTGTCGATTCTTCGAGCTATATGGCCGGCCCATTGCCACTTCAGCTTACTAATCCGTTGGGCTATATCGGTTACTCTGGTTCTACTGCGGATATCCTCATTTCTGAGTTTATCACGCAGAGAAACTCCGAGCATAGCTCTCTCTATAGCTCGCTGAGCGACCTTGAGCTTCCTCATACGGCCTGCAGTGAAGGACCACGTCTAAGTTCCGTATGTCATCACTGGCAATACCCACTGGTTGTACAGTCTCGTTTTCAAGTTTTGAGGTATACCTGACGAGAAGATGTGCCGTAATTTCCCGAACGCTGCCCAACCGAGTTGAGTCCGTCGATTAACCTCTCGGTCGAAGTTGGACTTACCTAGTCGGACTATTTGTCCCAGGTAAACATACTCGTCAACAACTTCGAGCTTAGTGCTCCCAACAACTACCGGAATAGGTGTGACATGGACATTAAACATGATCTTTGTTTTGTCCATGTTCATCTTAAGACCCATCCGTTAGAAAGCACTATTGAGGTCATTGAGCATAGTGCTTAGGTCCTCCAGCGATTCTGACATAAGGACTATATCGTCGGCAAATCGAAGGTGAGTGATGTATTCGCCATTGATGTTGATACCGTATCCTTTCCAGTCCAGAAGCTTGAAAACGTCTTCCAATGCAGCGGTGAAGAGTTTCGGGGATATGACGTCACCCAGTCTTACACCTCTCTGCAATTGGATAGGTTTCGTACTCTGATTCTGTACTCGGATAGCCATCGTAGCCCTACTATACAAACACTTCAGCACTTCGATATACCGACAGTCAACTTGGCACCGCTGAAAGGACTGCAGCACCGCCCAAATTTCGACGGAATCAAAGGCTTTCTCATAGTCCACATACGCCAGACATAGTGGCAAATTGTACTCCTTGGACTTCAGTACAATTTGCCGAAGGGTATGTATGTGGTCTATGGTGCTAAAGCCTTTTCGGAAACCGGCTTGTTCGGGAGGCTGGAAGTCGTCAAGTCTGCGCGCGAGACGATTCGTAATGACTCCCAAAAACAGGACGTAGACGCGGCTCAGAAGGGAAATCGGTCTGTAGTTCTTCAAGAGAGCATTGTCGCCTTTCTTGAAGAACAAGACCACCGCACGTCTGCTCCACGCCTCCGGTGTAATGCCACCATGGAGGACGAAATTAAAGAGCTTCTGAAGGACTTCAAGTACGGGTTTTCCACCCGCTTTCAGAAGCTCCGCTGTAATTCCATCCTCGCCTGGGGCCTTGCCGTTGTTAAGGTGCTGGAGAGCCATTCTAATCTCGCTCAGACTGACGTCCGGGATATCATCGGAATAATGTCGGATATGACTCGCTCTTAGATCGTTACTCACACTTGCGTGTGGTTCCAACGATGACGTGTACAGCTGCCCATAGAACCTCTCAATCTCACTCAAAATCTCAGGTACCCCGGAAACGATTCTGCCACATTCTGTCTTCAGCTTTGACAGTTGGCTCTTTCTGGCAGACAAATCTCTGGCAAAGACTTTGGAGCCTTGGTTCCGCTCGATCGCTTCTTCAATACGAGCTGTATTGAAGTTGCGTAAGTCCCGCCGCATGCATTTGGAGATCTGTCTGTTCAGATGCCTGTATGCTGTCAAATCTGTTAAAGAATGTAGCTTCATCTCCTGTCTAACAGCCATGAGATTAAGAGTGTGATCGGAGAGTTTTTGTGTTCTTCTGCGGCGGGTCTTGCAGAAATTAGCTCCGACCACTCCATAATGCTCGTGGAAACTGTCCATAATGGACAGTTTCCACGAGCTTGTCATTCATATCGTTCACTTCATTGCAGTCTTCTAGGCACTGAAAACGGTTTTGTAATCCGAGCTGAAAGGTTTCGGGACTTTGGATTACAGCACGAGGGGGACGGAGCGTTGACTTCATTAGACGAGACCTCTCCAACTTAACGTTTAGGTTCAGTGTGCCTCTAACCATTCGGTGATCGCTGCCGGTTTTCACCCTCGCGATCACTGAGACATCACTGAACAGTTGTCGTCTGGTCGTCATAATGAAGTCAATCTCATTTTTTGTCGAACCGTCGGGACTCGAACAGGTCCAGTTCCTGTGGGGCCGCTTCTGGAAGAAAGAGTTCATCATAAAGAGTCCCTCTTTCTCCATGAAGTCGGCCAGCTGCTGGCCCCTTGGGTTCCGTTGCCCTATACCAAATTTCCCTACTTTCAGCTCACCATTCTCTCTTGTGCCTAATTTTGCATTGAAGTCTCCAATTAACACCGTATATTGGGTTTTAGAGGAATGCATGGCTCTAGAGATATCCTCATACATTTCCTCCACCTCCTGATCGGGGTGTGCCCAGGTTGGTGCGTAAACCTGTATGACCTTCAGCGAATACCGTTTGGTGATTCTGAGTATAAGGTACGCAACCCTCGTCGACACACTCTCAATCTTTACAAAGTTGTTAACGAGAGACTTGTGGACGATAAATCCGACACCTCCTTGGGACAGATGGTCGCCCTCCCGGTAATAGAGCAAGTTGCCGAATTCGAGGATTACCGTTTCCTCCCCCTCTCTTCGGACTTCGGATAATCCTATAATATGCCAGCGTAACACGTCTATCTCTTCTTCCAGCTCCACAATCTTCTCGTCAGTCCTCAGGGTGCGTGCGTTGTATGTTGCCAGGTCGAGTTTTCGTAGGTGGCAACCGAACCTCCACCGGAGATTCTTAGCACCCCCTGCCCCGCCGTTACCGTGGTCGCCACCGTAGCCAGGAATACCGGGGCCGTCGGGTACTGGGGGCCGTCTCACATTCATAGGGCGGTATTTGCCATAGTGCCCATGCTTGGCGAGCGGGTTGGCAACCGCAGTTTTTTTATTGTATTTTTGCTGTTATCAGGAAGATGCTGCTGCCCTTCTTCTGCCTGTTTCCCTTTGTCGCCTTTTACGACACCCACGGGAAAGATATGGGGTAGTGGATATTCTTAACCGCCACTACACAGCACTATAATAAAATACAAAGCAATAAAATCATATCCCACCAAAAACAAAAATGTGCTAAGGGAGCCATGTTAAACGACGTTTGGTGTAGTCGGCTTAGGTGATAAAATGATTTAATTGACTGAAGTGTTTTAGGAATATTAGTGACAATAAGCCTACAAACATGATTATTGTTGGCATAAATCAACCCCCAATTAGTTTACGAAAATTATAAAAATGTTGTTAACGATTCTTATGTCAGCAGTCATTTCTAACACTTATTGCATTCAACACGAAGTCAACTTATTAATGGAATCTCAAAGTCAGAAATGTAAATCGTAACGATGACACCTCCGTAATCTCCCAAAAATGAAAATACGCCCGTTCTAGTAGTGTGACTGCACTTTATTTTTTTAATTTTTACTTTTCTCGGCGTAAATTGGCAATGGGAAAGTTGAGAAAATTGGAATGAAATTAGAGATCAATTGATAACACCAATTAATATTATAAGCAGTCATTTAATATGGAGCGACCGTGGCTTAATATCCTTCGCTCCGATGTCAAGAATTCATTAGATTCATTAAAATGTAATCATACCATAATCATCTAAGTTCAAACGATTACGCGGATTATAGACGAATTATTACGCATATCGAATAGTTATTTGTATTATTAATTGCAGTTACTTTTTGCAGGCGGCGATGGCTCGGGCTTAAAGGCAAGCAGTCCCAGGGTAAGGCGGACAAGGCTCCAGGCGGGGCGCAATCCCCGGCCGCAGCCGAGAAGCCGGTGCAACTCAAGAAAATTCCATCTGAAAAGAAACTTCGTGTATGTGAATTAATTAAAATAGAAAAGTATTAGTATAGCCCGAAATCGTGGATTTTAATACGAGATTTGACGGCTCTGTGGCGCAGTGGCTTAGCAATGAGTTGTTGCGCCGGGGGCCGCGGGTTCGAATCCCGCACGGAACAAGTATTTGTATGGCCTACAAATAATTGTTCCGGGTCTGGATGTTTGTCCCCGTGCAATGTATGTTTGTAAACTGCCTCCACGATACAGAAGAAAATCGTAGTGTGGGGGTGATGTTTTTTTTTTAATGAAAAAAATACCTTCTCAACTTAAAATATCAATAGCGACATTTAGATAAAATAATACAAGAATTCTAATTACAATATTTTTACGAATTTAGTAATTAGTGTACTACAGGCCAAATTGTAATCCATGTCTTAAACTTCGCAATTAACGTGACATAATTTTGAAAACAATGTCTCCGTATTACGGCTACGTATTAAGAATATATTAGCCCAACTCATTCGGATTTCGTAAAAGTTGACTGAAGGAAATTTCTGGAATGTTTTGTGAACTTACTTTATATCGAATACCCAGACATAACACAAAGGCGCGAGAGGTTGGTGAGAGATAATACTGTGATCACCCATCCGCTCTACTGTGTGGTAGGATGCCATAGTTCAATGAATTCATGAGGAAGATAGTTCTCGAGTGTTACCTTTGTACCTGACACCCAATAATTTAACTGAAAACACGGATGCAGTTAGTTTTAGGCTAACGCGCTCCAAATGTTTAATTTTTTTTGAGTAGGTACTTCATAGAACATAGTTCAGTAACCAATGGGTCTGTTGTCGTTTTTCATTCTGTATATACAGAGTTAACTACTATTAGCGTAAAAAGGACAAAATAAAGTTATTTTCGCCGTTTCTTCTCCGTTCAGAGGAACCTTATTTCGCAACGGTAGTATATTTAGTAGGTTTAAAACAAAGGACATTTGGCAAAAGAAATTCATTTAAGTATTTATTTATTTCCATAATGTGTGTGTTTTACAGTTGTTATAAAAAAAATAGTATAATACATTAACCATTTCTGGTGTACAAAATTATTACTTGGTACTTACGTCGAAGAATTAAATTTCATTTTACTGTCGATTTTTTATGAAGCGCATGTTTTTTAAAAATAATTTGATGTGATTATCTAGTTGCCATACGTGAATGACAACGGACGCGAGGACAGTACCGAAGGCCCGCAAGGTGGCGCTGCAGCCCTGGACGAGGCAGAAGATGACGCCCCCGACGTAGAACTGCCGCCGCCAATGAAACCGATTCAGGTAAGGTGAATCAACTGTGCAAATTGGCGGGGCAATTTAATTATAAAAAGGACATTCCACTCCATGACTGCCTACAAATGTCCACTGCTGAACATAGGCTCCCTATAGATTACTTATACGGGGATTTTGCCATTTTTGCTTGGCAACCGCAGTTTCTTTTATTATTTTGCATTGTTATCAGGGAAATAAAAGGGAGATGCTGCTGCACATCTTCTGTTTCAGTTGTCCTCTGTTGTCTCTCACGACACCCACACTACGATATGCGATATCGTGTTATTTCATTCATCATCATCATCATCATTACAGCCCTTCACAAGTCCACTGCTGAACATAGGCCTCCCCCAAAGAATGCCACAAAGCACGGTCCTGAGCCACCTGCATCCATCGACTTCCTGCATGTCTTACCAGGTCGTCACTCCATCTCGTGGGGGGACGCCCTACACTTCGCCTACTTATTTGATTATTAACTAGCAATTCCCCGCCACTTCGCCTGCGTGTAATTTAAGTTTTCTTTTTTTTTTTTGCGCAGAACCCTAATACTTTTTCTTAAATAAAAGTAGCCTACGTTACTCCTTATAACATCAGCTGTCTGTCAGTGAAGGTCCCATGAAAATCGGTCCAGCCGTTTCAGAGATTAGCCGGAACAAACAGACAGATAGACAAAAATTTTAAAAATTGTGTTTTTGTTATAAGTACCGTATATATAATTTCATATGTATTTAGGGAAAAGCTGTTATTACGACATTACAAACTGACACTCCAATTGCATGCCTTAAGATGATGTGGTCTGTATTTGTCACCCTTATCCTATAAAAAAAGTTGATTTCAATAATATTTTCTCTTTGATAATTTGTAAAGTAATCTTTTACCAAAAATGAAACGCCTCCGCAACACAGTAGAAAATACAAGTGTCAGTTACGTTTTCAAAGAAAAAGAAATATATAAAAAAAATATAAACGGCCCACTCGTGTAATGAACTAGCATAATAAAGTATACAATTATATTTTTATTTTCAATATTGTATTTATTATTTATACATATGTTTTTACTATAAAGTGGGTTTGTTATTTTAACCCTAAAACAAGAAAAAAATAACATCATGCCTATTCTATAATCTACGGCCTTTTATTTCAACAGTCGCTTACTTTCTAAGTGGTAAATATAACATTTTTATTTCGTTCATATATTTTAATATCTTGGTGTGTTTATTGAGTTTATGACAAAAATTATAAATGACAAAAAGGTTACTCAAACTGTAGTGAATGGAAAATCAGAAAGTACGTGTTATTAATATCGTCTAGATAAAAAAAATTATGGAAACGAAAAATACCTATGTTTTGGCTGTTGTATAAAATATTGGCATGTATGAGGTATTTACATTAGACTTGCATACATTTAAAATTTCCACCATAATAATTTCTTATATTTACGCGAACACTACACATTTAAATAAAACTAATTTTACGGATTTTATCGCGTATATTAACTTATTTTACTTTCCCGACGTTTCAAGCACTTTACAGCACCCATGGTCACGGGGGGGACCATTTTAGAGATTTGTACAAAGTCCCCCAACGGAGCGGTTGTGACTGTTTGCCAATTACTATTCAGTCATAAACGAAACATAGCGAAACAAATGCATACATGTGTTTTTCATTCGTCGAAAATGTTATCCCCTTATGCATCTCAAAAAGAATTATTCTTACACATCTTTGTTTTTAAGGTTTCAATTCCACTTTACATTGTTGCTTATGTGCAGCTTTATATGTTCCAGTGCCGAAATAACTAGAGATTGCAATCCCGTAGCGATAACATGGTTAGCGGTGATAAGGTTCTTTGTAAAAATGGGCACTGTATTGACTATACTCAGTAGCACTGTGTATGTACACGCATATAAATCATTTCAACCGTTTTAAGCTTACTTGCATTGGTTAACTGGAATGTTAGTAATGTTAACAACTTTACTAGAATTATTTCCAAGAATAAAAATAATCAATGTGAGTTACTTATTGTAGTGTTCTTTTAGAAATTTAAATTAAATTTTACACTTAATAAAGTCAACATGTATTTGAGGAAAACTGAAGCATGAGGTGGGCAACAGCATGTTACTGATAAGAACTTATTTGTAATAAAAAACTGTGGCTGCCAACCTGCCTGCGAATCTTAGTACCTAACTGTGGCAAAATCTTCTCTATGGGAGGTCCAATTTTCAGCAGTGGAGTTGATAGGTTGTAATGATATTTGATTATAAATAAGAAGTTTCAAATATGTACTTGAAAAATGTACGATCGTATGCTTAAATATAATTATTTCAAATTGATTCATCGGCATCAAACCATCAGTAAATTACACAAATATATATAGTATTAGCCCTTTTCATTAATAGAAAAACAAATGATATTTTATTTCCTGGAAGGAATTCATAAACTGTATTTAATTAATTTCGGGATAATTGTATTTTGTACTATCATTGTTTTGAAAGGAATAATGACGATTAACGATAAATGAAAAATAAAACGTGTGTGTATTTATGTACGCATGTAGGAAGTTATTATTTTTTAGTGTAACAAAACAAAAATAAATAAAAATAACTACCTTAAATATAGTTATCACTTTCAACACAAACTTGAGTTACAGACAGTTATCCTCTGAAGTTGTCGCTATGAGATGCCCGTGTGTGCGCGCATCGTAAAAACTTCATGGTGTCATTTTTAGGTGTCGGTATGCGCGCGCATCGTAAAAAATTCACTCATTATTTTACCCAACCGTCCCAAAAGAAGTAAAACTTCAAAAACAACGAAAAACATTTAATTATTTTTCACAAAACTAACTTAGGATAATTTTGTCCAGTCGTAAGAGCGGGACAACTGGTTCACCGAATGGTAAATATCGATTGATAAATCAGTGTTATGTGGTAATATTTAAGAAATATTCTAACAACGAATCTTACCATTCCCTGTCACAAAAACACTTGGTTCTGAAAAGTAACGCCAAGTAAGACGCAAGAATATGATTGAATGATATAATTAGTAAGCAAAAAAAATGGGGATATCAGTTATACGAGTACTTACTTACTTAAGAAAAGCGATAAATGAGCTTGTTTACCAAATCGTGTACGTAAAAAGATATTTGAGTTCACCCAGTGTCCAACTTTTTCACTTGGTCGATACCACAGACAAAATTCTAGTATATCTGAGGTCACCAGGCCACGATCAGCCTAGCACAAAAATTACATGCTGGAGCCTACTTATTAACGCAGGTGGTGCGATACTAACAGATATATAGGCTTACAGTATAACTCAGGATTTCCAAAACGAGCTAACTTAAACCCGTACCGTTTACTTTGGATATTCATTATGAAATCGCTATTATGCAATATTCTTGATTTTGATCATTACAAAACATTATCTATTTCACAGTTATACATTAAAATATATAATTAATATACAATTTAAATAAATAAATAATTTTATTTATTCTAAATTACGCGCCGACATCAATAAAATTGTTAACGTTAAGAACTCAGTTGCCACTTTTTCGGCGGTAAAAGAAAACATTGTTTTTCAACCTGATGGTCCGAGGAATAAAATATTTCGAGAACAAGTGAAATCCGTAAAAACGTACTGGTACATCGCGATGGACTTAATTGTTGTAGACCCCTCTCAGAAACGAGATGGAGGCCTGTGCCCATATAGGCTTTTGAGTTTGTTTCTTATATTATAATTTTTATTAAAAAAAGCTTTCGGCGTTTTAATATACTTAAGCGAAAAATATGTATCACAACGCCGTTGCTATGTATATGTATAGAATATCGACACGAGTTTTGATGGGATATGATAATGATAATTAATTGAATCACGTTTCGTTCTACACGTGAAATTACTTTTTAGGGCTGATTTTTCATTCGTCAAATAAAAATTATCTATCGAATAAATTATAATCCGATTAAATATAAAATGTAACACGAACAATTTTATTTATACAACAGTAACTTTTAATTCGTTTAAGCAGTCGTTAGTATTTTATGCTACGGATAACTTGTATTATGATATTTTTATGTGGTAGAGGCACGCTACAGCTATACTGTTGTTGTAGCACGAACGGGTTGGCTCATCCGAGGTAGGACCACGCTCTCACAGAATACCAACGTAAAATAGCAGCTTAATGCTGCTGTGTTTCGTATGGTGAGTGTAGAGAACCGGAGACTCTTTTTACTGGAAACGAGGCATACCATCTCACTCCTCAGGGATTACAACGCATCTGCTTTTTGATTCTTAATTGAGGATAAATGTGAGGGTATATGGGTCACAGCATCCACTTCAGGTGGACTGCGCGCTCGTTCGTCACGCTAATTCTAAAAAAAAATATCTGATAATTGAAATATTGACCCTTAGACTCATGCTTGCAATATAATTTGCATATCACAATGTTCAAGATGGAATTGTGATTTAATTATGCGTTTACCTGAACTCATTTACTTACATGACAGCCAATCTTGTACAATATCCGAAGTACACAATATTATTTATTGTTATTTGAAAGATGTTGGATGGAAGACGTAAATTGTTTAGAAAATCAAATCTAGTTCGAGTGAGAGTACCTAGCACAGCGGACATGTGTAACATAGCGACCCTTCGTATACGTATTATTTGTTATTATGATAAATTGGTAAGCGTCCGCTCCACATCGTTGTCCATTCAGACAGTTCAAATGCGAACCCTGCTATTCACTTCAATCGTAGCGCATGAATGGAACGTTTCTATTCAGTGCCACCAATTGGGAAATCACTGATGAATAATACGGATCACTGATGAATGAAGAAAGATGACAATTGTAATGTTTATACCCCATATTATTTAATTACTCTAACTAGTGTAGTGGCGGTTAAGAATACCCACTACCCCATATCTTCCCGTGGGTGTCGTAAGAGGCGACACAGGGAAACTGAGGCAGAAGATGGGCGGCAGCATCTTTCTGATAACAGCAAAACAACAATAAAA